GCGCTCTGCTAACTGCGCAGTAAGCAGCGACTGCGCTTGGGCTGCGCTGCAGTGTGGGCAATATTATGAGAATTTATTTGTCGAATAATTTCTTTTGTAAACATATGATCTTAATGAAACTTTCAGAGTGTAATCATATGGTAAATATGTGTGTACATTCCAAAGCACAAGTCTCTACTACTTGAAATGCGTTTTTTACAAATTGGGGGCGAAGGGGGCGTGGTATCCAAAATCTGTAAATTACAAAATCTTTGTATCTATTAACTTTATATACAACGTAAATTTGAAGACTCCAGATCTAAAAATGCTCAAATTAGGCTAAAAAAACAAAATCAATTTTTCGATTATTCTCGATAAAAAAGTTATCGGACGATTTATCGAAAAAATAAAGCAAACTCGTACTGCGTATGGTACACATGAGTATGCATGCCAAATTTCAGCTCTCTAGCTCTTATAACTTCTGAGATCGACGCACTCATACGGACGGACGGACGGACGGACGGACGGACGGACAGACGGACAGGGCTATATCGACTCAGCTCGTCACGCTGATCATGAATATATATACTTTGTGGGGTCTACCACGCCTCCTTCTGCCCGTTACATACTTTTTCACAAAACCATTATACCCTGATTTCCCATTTTCAATGGGTTCAGGGTATAAAAAAAATTTCGAAAAATCAACGATAGAATATTTTTAAAATAAAATAGATAAAATGGCAATGGAAATAGAAAACAAAAATATTATTGTCGCACGGGTGAAAGCAGAGGAAAACAAGAAGGATTCGGAAATATTGAAACTAAAAACTAAAACTCTATTAATGCTATACTGACTGACTGACTGACTATAAATCTGCCTTCGGTATTAATATTATATTAATATTAATATATCTCAATAAGATTTTCTACTGACGAACTACAAGCAACATGAACTGTATATTTATCTAAAGATTTCTAATGATGATACAGTCACTTCCTGATTGGGGGAGAAGAGGAAAACTTTAAACTAAAGTCATTGAGAGAGTATTTTGGAAACGCAGGATCACTATAATTGGGTAACTTGAAACTGCGCAAAATGGTTGAATTATGGATGGTGTTTCAACAAATGCATGATTGGTCTAAACACCCATCGACAAGAATAAGTGACATTTTCTTTCTCCAATTTGCAGTAACTAAAATGGAATTTACAGAGCAGAACATCACATGTTCGAGCAGGGGGCGCTCTAATTCACAAAATTCATAGTCATAAGGACTATTTAAGGATATTATTGTTTCTTTATACATTCATAACAATGGAATTCATTTTTCCAACAGAGTATTGTCTATTCGACCATTCATCGGTTTCAAGTACACATTTTAACTCACAATTTAAATATCGGTCATCAGTATTAAAATTAACATTCTTTAACCATTTCGATGTTAGTCAAACATTTATGAATGTGGACAAGCATTCAAAGTATTTATGTTCTATGATGATTTCTCAAATTGAATATCTGAATATCGATAAATACTTTCAGTTCGACTTTACAAATAATGTCTCACATTTACTGATGCTGATTGCCTAACATAGACCTGTCCCATTCCGTTACGAATCCGTTTTCGACGTGGTTACACCGGCTTACCTTAAAGTCAGACAGCGAAGCCATTAAGTCATCCAGTTCCTTGGTGGCCTGCGATGTGTAGCCTTGATGTTTAACGGCTGGCGCTGGCGCGACAAGATTTGGCGAGTACGAATCCTTCTTCTGCACGATTTGCTCCTCGATGGTGCCAACTATAACAAATATATATGATTGAGTAATCTATTTGGGCTATTAAAATACACTTTTCACAGTACCTGGTCCATCGGGACCTGTGAGTTTTTCCGTCTTAGTCTCGCGCACCGTGATAGTTACATGTCGTCCAGGCGTGGGCGACTTATGTGCAGATCTGAAAAGCACACAGTTAAGCACAAAGAAATCTAGATACGCGCATAGCTCTTACCCGTTGGGCACAGCATAAATGTGAGCGTTATCCAGTTCGTTGAGTAGGCTGTCCACAGTGGGTCGATCCTCCACCGAGGCGTAGCTGTTGAAGGTGTTGTACTTGGAGACGGGCGTACTGTAGTTAACGGGAACCTCCACTTCTGGAACAATGTGAACAATAATTAGTTGGTGACTTCGTCTTTTAGCCTCATCTTAACTCACCTTTACGCTCCGCTCCGCCGTTGTTGTAACGCGCATTCTGCAGGTCCTGCAGCAGCGAGTCCAGCTCCGACAAGCCCGAACTATTCTGGCCATTACTGTAGCCAGAGCGTGGCAACGATCCAGTGCCTTGATGCTGATAGCCATTGCTCTGCTGGCCGGAGCCATTGAATTCAGCTGCTGTGGGGGAGCGCGTCTCCACGCTGTAATGTTCCTGGTACTGCCGCATAAAGTGGTTTAATTAATCAACTGACATCAATTCAAAGCAATTGCCACTTACCACTTGCGGCTGCGACTGTTGTGCTTTGCCCCTCAGGCTGCCATAGCCGGGCGTATTGTCCACAAAWTGTTGTTGTTGCTGCTGCTGCTTGGACTGGACAATTCCATACTGCGGCTGGGTCTGCTGCCCCGGCACGCTGTTCTGCAAGTCGGCAAGTAGTGCATCTGAAGCAATAGAAAACGAAAAGAGTATTAAATGTGGCTGCAACTTATTTTTGGCACATTCCATTCCAACCCAGATTATCGTAATCGCCATAGTTAGCCATGGCCTAGAAACCCTGCCCAGACGATCGCAACCAACTAAACGTTTCTCTTCTGACGCATAGCACAACTGATAGCTGCTGTCCAAACAATTATTCACTTGGCTATATATCTAACCAAAAGCCAAAACTTACTGATAAGGAATATCAACGCTTACTCGCGTTATCGGCGCAGTCAAGCAAAACTAAATAAAAACTTGGAGAAAATTGACTTTTTCTTAGGGCTTTTATACTTGAACTGGGTTGCTGTCTGCACTAAGTGGAAAAATATATTTGAAAGCTTTAGTAATTAGCTTAATTTCAATTCCTTAACAGCAATGTACATTTACTAAACATATTACTATTATATATATTAGGATATACTATCCAATCATAAAATATTTTTCCGCAAGGTTTTAATACAATAAACAAAAATACTAAAACTCTTAATAAAAGCTTGCCTATTGGCGATACGTTATATGAGTACTGTTAGGACTAGAATCCTTTCCTAAAGCAATTATATAATGTCTGAATCATTTTTATTGAAACTGAAAGTGTTTAGATCTATAAAGCATGCATCTAAGAGTTTCAAGACTTCATTTCTGATAGGTTTTAATATCAACGGACGGATAGATCTAAGAACAAATGTAATAAACCGTCTTCTACAAGTTAGCTGGATATTGCATATATTACTAATATTTATATTTTATGAAATACGTGTGAAGCCCAAATATATTTGCGTTATATATTTATACAGTCTAAAGCTCGGCTCCTGACGAAAATATAGTTGAAACTAGGGTGTTTGAAAATATATCAAAACATCAATATATCGATATATTTTTCAACAAAAATATATTTATATCTAAATATTTTTTTTGCCAAAGTATCGAATATTTTTGCGATAATTTTTATATATTTGCGTTGGTCACTCCTGTGATAAGTGATTCCATTGCGAATGTACAAAAATTATAAAATATGGTGAAAACGTATTATTCTGACTTTAATAATGGAACAAGCAAATGTAATTTGTGCCATAAAGTAATGAAAACAAGTGCTAACAGATTAAATAGAGCGTCGCATATGAAAAACAAGCACTATGATGCTTTTGAGTACCGAATAATGGAGTAACGCAATCTTTTTCATTTAAATGAAAATTACTTATTCATATTATTCTTGTTTTTGGGACAGATTTTTTGTTGGAAAAGTTTTTAAAAAATCGAATATTTTTATATATTTATTTTTAAAGTTACATCATCATCAGTATCATCGATATTTTAAAAATATTCGACAGCCCTAGTTGCAACTGAATTATATTAAATTTTAATACAAAAATTTTATATTTGTTTGGCATAGACTAATTATATGTATGTATACTAATATAATTCAATTACTGATCTCTCAACTCATTGTTGTCAATGTAGAACACTAAAACTGGACACGGGAATTACGGTTGCGATATTCCGATTATATTATTACGTCCTCTAGAAGCTGTGACAAATCATGGCTGGATGGTGGAAGGTGAATTATTACTAAGGAATATTATAAATGAAATATATTCCTGCAGGCGTGGGAAATAAGCAATAAATTACCTTAAAAGATAGAAACTTAGGATTGTACGGTGAACTAATTTATTGATTTACCGAAGAAGTCGGTAAATCGAAAAACTCGGTTTATAAATCGAAAAACTGTGTTCCATCAACAATCCCAAAATATGCAGATAAAACAAAAAATATTTGTTAGTGGTCGCGCCTGATTGGAATACTAATAATACTGATGAGGTATGAAATACTTAATCATCCTTACATATGCAATATTAATTTAGACTGGGGTTGCTTATAGAGCACAACTAATAACGTAAATTTCGCGGCGTATATACTTTCTATACTTTCGCCAATTACGCTTGAACTTGAACTTGGGATTGGCATTGGAAATCTCTTGGCCTGGCCCATTCCCACATATTACAGTTCGTCACGCACTTGTCGGCTGTGGACTTACCCAAACGTCGCTCAAACACGCCCACTTTGAAGCAGTCGTTGAGGGGCGAGGTGTGGAACGACGATGATATCAGTTTCGAAGACATTTAGTTAGCCCAAAAAGGAGTTTGGCCAAATTCGATGCAGATGCTGAACGAGGTACAAACGATTCGATTAGTTCCTTTAATAGAAATCTCTTTGAAATTTCAACGTATTTCAACAGCAACAACAGCAGCAACAACAACAACAATATAGAGCTGAGGATTTTTAAATTCAGTTGCTAAGCTGCATGAAAACTCAATCGAAAAGCAGAGCCAAAAAGCCACGACTCCCACGCCTCATTTGAAATGGACATAAGCAATGTAGGGTTGGCAGCAGGGGCGGAGGGTGTGGCGGTCATCGAACAGTAGACGAGGTCTACACACACACATTATATCAAATTTATATACATATGTATATATTTATATTTTTGATATGTTTCTCGTGGGACGAACTAGACGAGCGAGCTAAAAATCGCGCCAATGCACGAAATATCGCATATATGATGATTATATAAATATATTTATATATACGGATGTGTGTGTGTGTGTGCTTGTGAGACTCGTTGTCGATATATCTGATCAAATTAACGTTGTTTGCATTATGTTTGGCTATAATTTGGTTAAAAGCRACAAACAAACAAAAGTGCGTGCTCGGTTTGAATGTGCACGACCTTTATATACCCTGTAACCAGCCAAGATATGCCATACATACATACAGGCATTTAGATGTAAATTCATGGTGCCTTATTTCGAAATACGTAAAAACAAAAATATATACTTTTTCATTTTTTATTATTTCAATATTAAACGATTCTTCCACATTTAAAATAAAATCTTTTTTTATTGTTTTGTTTACAACTTTTGTTTATGTAAACATTGAAAACTCGGCATGCATATTGCATGTAACATAAATATTTTTTTTTTAATTGAATGTCGAAAAATATGTACTCAAGCTTATACAGCTTATATTGATTGTATTACATGGAAGCAAAACAAAATTATCCAAAAACAATATTGCACGTTGTAAGCGATTCACACCTTCAGAGCTCTGCCCAACCTAGGCGATTAGAGAGAATGGAATGGAAAACACTGTCATACGTAGAACATGACAGCTAGCGATTAATACATCAGTGCTGAAATACCCAAAAATAAATCAAACGAATCATCGAGCAGGGATTTTTAAATATGTATGTATGTATTTGTATATTTTGGCATCGATTCTAATCCGTTGGGTTCAAAAGTTAGTGCCACCTGCAATTGGGCCAATGCCAGAAAAGAGAAGGCAGAAAATGAGTTTCACTCAAATTGAGTGAGATCTTTGAGTTATATAAGAGCAAATGAGTGGGAAAATAACTGTGAACGCAGAAATTTGGCAGAAAATGTATATTGTGAAAATATAAAAAGATAGCTGCGATGATCTATATTTAAGAAGCTGTTTTCGGACTTTATGGAAATATCAGATAAATGGCAAATCGTTTCGCAATTCGCTTAAAAATAAATCGAAAGCAAACGATCAAACTATATGGGTATTCGAACATGTGGTTGACTTTTAAAAGTGTCTATTCATATGCATATGGTATATGGCCTGAACCAGATGGCGATTGGGGATAGTTCACTATAAATAGAGCTGGCAGGGTTATCAGAGCGTCGCGCTTCAGTGGGTCAACGTCAAGATTGTGGGGCCGAATGAATTATTATACGATTTATGTAGAAAAAGAAATGATTCGGAAATCGACATGAATCTTATTAAGATCTTTTTGACTATATAAAAGCTAAGATGCTAAGAATGTCTAAAGAACTGATGGCTTAGTCTGAGTGATTAATGATATATAACATTAAATATGTACATTATTTTTTATGCCATTGTAAATATTGCATTCAAGAAAAGAACTTTATATTTAAACAATTTCATACACTTTAAAGTTTTTTATTAGAAATTCTCTAAACATCATAGCCAAAATGCAGCGAAGATGACAATTTTTAACTATTAACTGACATTTCTGTCAAGTAGCGTTCATTAAAACGCAATTAAATTCAATTAAAAGCCACCATTTAGCATTGGAGAGAGAGAGAGAGAGGGAGATAGAGATGGACGGAGCAGCAATTGAGTGAGCATCGCATCGAAGTTATTTAATTGCAGTTTAAACAAGAAAACAAAACAAAAACAACATTGGCGAGAGAGACAGGCAGAGAGATGCTCAGCGGGGACAACAGGGTGGCAGTGCAATCATATTCACAATAGTCGCAATCGCAGTCTCAGTCGAACTCGAATTCGAACATATGACAGCTGTTATAACGGCGACCGATGCCGCACAGAGAGAGGAAGCGGGAGAACATGTATAGCTAGCGAATTCGTGGGCGAGAGCGCGAAGCGTAGAGCAGGTCAAGCAGCACGCGCATTTTCAATTGTTGTTATGTTGCTTATTGAGTTTATTGCTGTTGCTGTTTGTTGTATTTTGTTTTATTTTATGCTCTTGACTGCGCTGCTTTTCAACAGCTTCGTCTGCGTCATATGGCTTTTGGCAATTGCTGTTGACATTGTGTTACATATTTATGCAGCTTGCGGCTGTCACTTTTTGGTTTTCGTGTGTTTCACAATTGTTGATGCTCTTGTTATTGTTGGTGTTGTTTTCCTTTGATCGAAATTCGCAGGCTTTATTAAATTCTATACACATACACATGCACACACTTCGGCGAATAAGTATAAATATTATGTTATAAGCGGGTGGACGGGCGCACACACAAAAAACAAACACCAACAACAATTTTACACAAACAATCGATCGACGTTTTTTTTTACGCACAGAGCAACGAAGCGGATCACCAAAAATTATTTTTCGCTCGGCAAAATCTTAAAAGCAACTGAACAAGATGCCGGACGAAAACCGTTGCTGAAGCTAAGGCAGCGGCAAATCTAACAGCAGCAGCGCACACTGGTTACATGCATGTTAAAAATCTTTTGTTTACCAAAATGAGTTGCTAGTTATACTACTATGCTAAACTTAAGCCAAGCACTCAAAAAATCGGTGACATTATATAATATCTTAAAGCTTATAAGTAAATTTTGAATAAAAGCCTTAGTTTATAAATAATGTATATATGTATATATTTTTAATTAGTCAAACTAAGTGCATTTTACCATTATATAGTACTAATCCCATAATGCTTATGAAATGCCTATAGATTTTTTATTAAGTTTATTAAGTGTTTACAAAATTTCTACTCGAACTATTTGCAGTATGCGAGCCCAGTGTGCAGCGTACAACTCACTCAAGAGAGGGTGGGAAAACTCGCTCAAACTCAATTGGGCATGTGTTTGTGTCTATGTATTGGTGTTGCAGCAGCTGTTGATCTTGTTGTTGTTGCTGATTACAACACTTTTGCGTTTGGTGTTGAGAAAACGTTGCCATTTGTGCCTGCTACAGGCAGCCTTTGTGGGCGTTTGTCTCGGAGGCGCCACCTGCCGAGCAGAATCCCGAACACTTTAAACGTTTTCTTCTATTTTATTTCTTTCTTTATATTTTGTGTGCCCCGATGAGTCACTTGACTTTGACCAAAACTAAAATTAGTATGCAGCAATAAAAACAAAACAAGCAACAAACGACAAACGGCAACAAATTAAAATTGTTTTTGTTGATTATTTTGTATTAATTTGTCAGAGAGTGTTGTTGTTTCTTTTGTATACGAGGTTTTCCTCTCTATTTCGACGCTGACATCTACAATTGATTACTCCGATTTTCAGCGGGCAGTTCAATAAGGTTAACAAGCTGAAATTTAAGTTGTCTCCAGCTGAAGTTGCGTTTTTTACTTTGAAATACAAAGACAGAGATTATACAAGTGACAAGTGAACAGAGTTTTATTTGTTATTGGAACTGGTTCCAACTCTATTGTAAAAGAACTTCCGGTCTGACGAGGGAACGCATAATTATAATCCCAAAGCGTTGCATCAACATCTAGTCGGGCTTGGCGTTATCAAGGCTTATTGACTTAACATTGAATCAGCTAGCTTGGCAATTAAGACCGCTTACATAATCACCAATCAAGGTACGTATATAAATATACATACACATAGATACATAGATATTTATAATATATAGGCGAATATAGAACAGCAGCAGAAACTATGCGACGCCCACATTGAATGTCAATTTTCAGCTGACGCTGAATGAATGAAATGATCTAATGAATGAACCACGTCGCGAGGGTCGCTATAGTAAACCCGTTCCGTCCCCGCCCTGGCCCGACTTTAGACTACCCGATTGTTCATGCTTACCGATTCTCATGACTTAGATACAAAATTCAATTGCACCTGTGATGGAAACCGCACGACGTTCAATTACTAACTGAATTCAAAATATTCAAATCAATGTCTGACTAGTTGAGACTTCACTTTTGATGCAATATCGAATAGTGTGAATGTAGTGGTTCTCAGTGAACTATAATTACGAGCACTGAGAAACAAATGAAAAAGCTTCAGTTCTAATGTCTCGACTAGCAAATACCTTTAAGATTTTCCATTTCACATTCACGTTTTTGGTACGAACTATTGTGATATATACGAAATGATCCCTAATTCCCAAAATGATATTAAGTATGTAATTATCAATATTCATACATATATTTGTTTATAGAATGATTAACATATACAAATTTAAGAAATATTTCTATATGATTTTTTATATAACACATATTTATAAAAATATGTCTGTATATGAATCGATTCACATTATTATATACGTAAATAAATAGATATAGCCAATAAAAAGTTGGAATCTGTTTTAAGCAATTGTTGTCGACAATAATGTAGAAGTGGTAATTATATTTGTTGACTGATAATGAATGAAATCCATATTATGTTACTCATCGTTACACTCAGATTAAGATTCCTAACAAATTTTCAATATCTAGGATCTATAAGATCATTTATATAATGATGCAAGTTTACCGCCTGAGTGAAATGTGAAATTTTTATAGTTTTTGGGCACCTTGACACGACTTTCTTAATAATTATTAAGTACTATAATAGAAATATATATATTTTATATATTGCAGATTCCTGTAATAATTATGAAAATATTTGAGCAATATTACTAATTTACTAATTACAACATTTATATTAATAATTTCACATATTCAATTTGTGAATAGCTAGAATTGGTATAATTTTCTCCTTTTTGAATGCTCTTCAAGCAGGGTATCAACAACAGACCAAAATATTTTTTTTCAGTTACATTTACAAAGACTTTCGATCTATAGGCACAAGAGATTTCATATGTTACATCACAAAGTTTCTTTTTGTAACTCAAATGTTTATACAAAGCACGATAAACGAAAACAATAATTGCGCCATTATTGCTTTAAAACTTATCATAGCTATTGCTGCCTTTGCAACTATATAAAGAGTATTGCAAACATGAAGTCCTCAATTCCATGTGGACAGTCGAATACACTCTTCTTATATCGCGAGCGAGAAGTGTACAAAAACATTAACTTATCTCTAATACTATGACTCTAAACTACAAAATTGACTTGCCTAAAAGTATGCAACAGTATGGAAACGCATGGAAGTTCTTGAGACGAGATGTAGATGGCGCTTAAGATAGTACAGAAAGTATACTTATTACAATTTTCGAATTTTAAGATTCGCTGGGAAAGTAGAGAGTTGGTTAATTTTATGCAATGTCTTTTGTGTTCGGTTTATCAGTTTGAAATATATCAATAGATTTCGAGCAGCGAATTGTGTAAATTCCGATTTTTATATGGGGGATGCACACGAATATTGCTTAACCTATCAAGGAAATGATATCATTGGGGTACAGTGGTCAATGGCTTACCAGAAAATTATTCGTAAGATTATATTGAAAAAATTCGTTTCCGATAATTAGAATTTCTGTGTAAATCGGAAAAAAAACTAATTCTTTGGCCATTATATTATTTAAAATTATTTTTTGTCGGATTTAAATAATAACCAGAATATAATCTATTTTTCACTTTTTGGTATTTTCTTTAATCTTTTAGTTACATTATTTATGTTTATATACGGATGCCATATGTTTTAAAAAATATTTGATGGCCCATTAAAGAAAATTGATTTAATAGAGAAAATGTAGGATTCTGGTGAAATAGTTTTTCAAATCGATCCATATAACAATAATAAAATCTTTCACTTTTATGTAATCGTATAGATATATAGATAGATACATTATATATGTAACAAAATTTTACAATAAGTGCAATTTCAAAGCGTTTCACATAGCGAGCGACCACTGTTGTTGTTGTTGTTGCTTGGCTGTCAACTTAAGTTATCAATTGTACTATCATATTTTGCACTTATCACGCAAATCGAATAGAGCATACTTGGGCTAGTCACACATCTAATCGTCAAGCGTGCGGACGGACACACAAAATGTGCAAACATTTCCTGCTTTTGTTGCTATTGGGTGCTCTAAGCCTCAAAGCCACGCGCATTCATGCAGGTGAGCAGCTAAAACTGCAGCTGCAGTTAAGTTACTCTAGCAAAACCCTTGATACATCACAGCAGCTATCAGGAGAACCTCTCTGGTCAATGCAACTCCGATTGGCCAGAAGATTTACTATATTGAGGAATCACTGCGCGTGAATTGGTTCCATGCGGGTAATCTCTGTCGCCAGCTGAACGGGTTTCTGGTCAACCCTGAGAGTGAGCAAGAGCTGCTCGAGCTGAGTGCCCGATTGCACCCAGCGAAGAGCTATTGGCTATCGCTCTATGAGCTGGCCACACCGGGCGTATACGTATCGCAGGCAACGGGCAAGGATGCCCAGTTCCTGCGCTGGTCCGCCGGCCAGCCGGACAACACTGGCGGTGTGGAGCATTGCGTGGAGCTCTGGCGACCAGGCAGCTCCTTTCAAATGAATGACGCCTCCTGCGAGACGCCGCTGCACTTTATCTGTGAGTTGGGATCTGAGTCGGATTAGTTGAACGAATACTTACAGCCCGGCTGGATGCCCTTGCTGCGCACCGTGCGATAGGGTTGTCGCGCTCCTGGATCAATTTTCCCATACATAGTTCGATCCATTTTGACTTGATTTTGATTTATATTTGTGTATATATTTGTGTATATATATGTGTAACACTTTGCTCTTTAGCTGCATTCAAAAGCCAATAAAAAATCGAAAGTTCACACAAACAGATTGCATCTGCAATATATTATTTAGACTTGGATAGTATTTTATATAGTAGTGCTCCACCCAATGCACTTGGCTGAGTTATTTAAAAGCTTTCGCATCGACTGCCTCTTCCCGAGCGCATTTTTATTTTTGGCCATGTGAGACCCGTCCGTCGACGGATTTGTCGTTTTGTTTGTGCTGAGTTTGGCTGTCATTCGGTATCCGTTTGTCTGTCAAGAGTTTTGTCCCAGAACTTCCCCGACCACAGTAATCCACTAAATGCTACAAATGGGGGCTAGGGGATGCCACAAGAGAAATGGAACTTGTTCAGCACTTTGCCGGCTCTAGTTCAGCCCGATGACAGAGTTCAATCTATCATTTTCATGTCGTGAACTATATGTTTGATAGTTCATTTAGTTCAAAAGTTCACGATTCATGCGACTCAATTTAAAGTTCCTGAACAGGAAAACAATATAATTGTTAAGAAGTTATTTCGCGACTGTGAGATTAATCGTTCACTATCCAAATGAATATGTTCAGTAGTTCATATATCATCGAAATTTATGGAATAAAATGGAATGGAACAGAAAGTTTCAATCTGTAAAATCCTTTAAATATTTCAATTATAATTCAATTATTCTAAAGGCAATTATTGAAAAAAATCTAATACTTATATAAAATAAAATAAAATTAATCAATTTAATTTGCAAAATTCTGTTCAAGGTTTTGGGTGGTTCAATGAATATGAATAGTATTATTTAATAATATTTATGCCAATTTAATAACCTCCTTCTCAAGCGGGCATATTGGTTTTGTGCAATCTTATTCTGACTCTCCGCTAATATGCATCTATTGATACCCACAGCTGGTTTATATTTCCTTCATATCCCAGTGGAAGCGTGCAAAACCAGGAAGAAATTTATTTTGAAATAGATTTTTGTATAAGCCATTCAAGACTAAATGGGGGCATGGCAATTGTGAATTTGCTCCATTTTCTGTATACGAATGTCATTTGTTCTTTTAAAGCAAAAACTATACACATATATGTATAGGTCAATAGAACAATGGCAAATCAGGAAAGATGACTATATCTTCGTCTCAGTTTTTGATCAATCGAGAGTCACTCGAAACTAAGAACATTTGACTATAAAAAAGGTTCAGTAACATCTTAGGGATTTCTTCTCAGATATGTTATCTCAGGCGTTGTCTTAAGTTCATTACTACATAAGAAAACATAAAACAAGACATAAAGAAAAAACATTAAAAAATGAATCCAACTCAAGGTATTTTTACTTATCGGATTAAACAGATCATTCATTAAAGTTTTTCAAAAGATTGGTTCAAAGACACGTCTCCCGCATTTCCCCATCTAACCAAATGTTTGAAGTAAAAGTGAGTGGGATTTCCAACATAAATAAAATGCAGTTTTAGTTGATATATGAGACATTGATAATTGATGATCACCCACGGATGACAGGCGATCAGGTTGATCCGGCGATGCCATAAGGCCAGATTTATTGGCCATTTAGATACCAAAAGAAAATACAGTCAACATGTGTCCAAACAAATAGCGACATATTGGAAAAGGTAACAAATAATAAACATAAATTCAGGCAAGAATAAAACAACAAAAATGTTCAGCGCAGCAGCAGGTTTTCGTGTTTGTTGTTTTTGTCGCCGGGTTGGATGCTAGCGGGGAATCAAGGTTGCCAAATTACGTCACCGCCATGATCAAGAACTAAAAATAAATTAAACACAAAAAAAAGAGCAGTACACGCAAATCAAAGGCGACGTTTTCGCCTCGACCAGCACCACTGCAGCAAATTCACCTAACGCCCAAAATTTAATTAAAAAACAACAAGAAGAAAAAAGAAAAGCAGAAGAAATGCCCTAACATTTCCGCAGTGCATTGCCAAAAAGGTAGCCAAAGATATCTCAACACGCTTTTCCAGCTTTTCGCGCTGGGCAGACGCCAACAGAGCAGCGGATCCACAATAGAAACGAGAAAAAGAAGCAGAAAGGAATAACTAACGATTGTGTTTGCCAGTTCTAAATTTAAAAGTCAACGGCATGATAATATTAGCATACCCTAAGCGAGGCAATATCAACTATTAGGCACAGGAAAAGACACCTTTGTAGACGCGAATATCAAGTTAAAGCGATTCGCCTGTTTCCAGTCTATCAGTTCTATAGTGCTCTACTTTTGATCTCTTGATCGAGAGTTCTGTTAATCTCTAGTTCTACAGTTATATATCTCTTGTTTCCTCCAGTTCCCTAGTCCCTATGATTCTATAGTTATATAGCTCTCTAAGATAGAGTTCCCGTCAGTTCTATAGTTCTCCTCGTCGATAGTCCTTCAGTTACATTCTTAGTTATCTAAATCGAGTTCTTAAATTCTTTATTTCTATAAATCTCTTTCTATGAATCCCTAATTCTATAACTTTCAACTTTTCTAGATTAAGTCACCAATTATCAAGTTTCTTACTAGTTACTAGTATTAAAGATCTACAGTTCTATAGATCTATAGATCTATATTTCTCTAGATGTGTTGTAGTTCTGCTTATATCTCCCTTTCTTCTTTCTATGATTCTCGTATTTCACTTCAATTTTCAACTAACTTTAGTTCTGTAGCTTTACAAAGAAATCTAGTTCAATATTTCTTAAGTTCTTCCCTTCTCTAGATTTATAGATTGCTCAATCTATAATATGAGCAAAAACTTTAATAGTCCGATTCTCTATCTATTCTTAATCCAAGTTTCTCGAACTTTCTAACTAATTGTAAACTTAAGTGAATTCTATTTACCAGCTCAACAGTTCTAGGACCATATGTTCCAGTTACTTGCTCAGTCGTACTTGATAATTATTTATTTTATATCCAGTTGCTCAGTTAAAAGTGTCAAATTAATGCTTAGTTAATGAACTACTGAATAACAGATTATCAAAACTAAGAACCAATGTTTCTAAACATGTGAAAATTTTCACTAGTTTCTTTTTGTGATTATTCATCAGTTCAATCAAACGTCTACTCTAGGGATACCATGTAACAAATAATTCTTATTTGCAAGGGTATTCGAATATCGGATATTCAAAGCGTGATCTTTTATGATTTCATTTTCGTTTAAGTTTTTTTTTTTTTTTTTTTTTTTTTTTTTTTTGGGGTGTAGGAAATTCCAAGCAACGGCGGGCAGCCAGTGTTCAATGGACTTGGACTTTTGTTGACCGACGCGACGCCACAGACGATAGCTAGATCTCTCTATAAATACTCTATGAATATTTGATAGGTAAGTACATAAAATTTGGGCCGACCTTGCGTGAAACGCCAAAGGTGAAAACGTAAAGCAATGAAAGTTCTACATTCACGTGGGTGATCTCTGCTGACCTCTCTATGGGCCATAAATAAGTTCAGTTTATGCTGCTATAAAACGATTTTATACAATGTACAAATCAATGATGTGAAATTACTAAACAGAAGGAATCGTTCTCGTATCGATGCCTATTGAATGAACAATTGGACATATATGATAAAAGGAACTTTTTCAGAAGATATATTGATATTTTCAATTGGAAAAGATCAAGTATGGATTAAAGTAGTCTTGAATGCAATTTAGTTACGAAGGCTGGAATATTATTTTTCTAAAAGTTGATCATGTTCGTAATTCAAGTTTAGAACTAAAAGAGTAACTTTATCAGACTCTTTCGCATTCTTTATAACTAATCTAAAGTTAGATTCGGGTTGACAAGCTAGGCGGGCTTATCATAAATATAATATGAATTAAATTAACACATATTAAAGTCTATTTTTCCTAATTTATAACATTAGAAACAAGGCTTTATATAATTTATACTATAGTTAATTTAAAAGAGATCCAACTATTGTGTGGGTGGCCCTGCTGCTCTCTGATGAGATAAGAGTGAGGCTTCTCTAAGTGTTCAGCTAGAGAGAGAGAGAGAGAGAGAGAGAGAGAGAGAGAGAGAGAGAGAGAGAGAAGAGACTGTCTCTATTTGTCTAAAGTAGAAACAGAGCATCTCAGCTGCTCCCCCTTCGTCGTCGTACTAATTGAAATTTTATGAGTCGGCACTTGGAGATAAGAATCGATTTGCTGATTGAAAACGAGAACTTGCGCGACTCAACCCAACTCAACTCGACTCGCACTACGCTAACAAATTGAACGATGAACTCATTGTACGCGAACGACAAAGCGAGCGAGGCGATAGGGGATTGACGACGTTTCCTATGCCTAACAAAAAGGTGCTAACTTCCCTTCCATTGCAGTCAATTCGGTTCAGCTCGACAAATGCTTAGAGCAAACATATGATCTGAGTTTAGGCAGAGTGGATGCTCGCACGGGCGTGGGCGAAGAGGAGCCAACTCAAAGAGAGGGAGAGTGGGTGGCACTTGAGAGATACAGAGATATTGTTTGTAACTAATTGGAATTCGGTTTGGCGGCAAATCGAAAGCAATTCCAATAAGTGCATCACATGCACGAGACTCGACGAGATGATCCCCTTAAAAATATGTGCACATATTTATATACATATGCATTCATGTGCACCCAATTGTTGAGATTTTCGTAATGAAAGCGACTTTGCTTACAATTTATTTCAAGTGCTTGAAATACGTGTGTAAAATGTCGTATATTCATAATAGCCATCTTTCGTAATTGCTGTAACATCGTATACACTAACATAGGGGATATAAGTACTTTCACAATAAACATGTGCAAACGCCCCAGAGACTCTGATCACTTAGGATGGATGATTTTGACTATAATATCCCCTAGCATAAGTTGATATCAGTGAAAGTCATCATCGCTCTACTTTTATTATTGTCTTCCACACATTTTCCAGTCACATTAACAAATTTCCCCGCTCAACACCCACGGCATTAGTCTCAATTTTTCTTAAATACATATGTATATCATATAATCCGATTGTCGGGCATGTTTAAAATTAATGGCGCTAGCCAAATTTCACATCTCTTGTCACATTTAGGCATATCTCTCGTTTTTCATTTTGTTCTTTATTTAGTTGTTTATTCGATTTCTAAAAATTAGCTTCATAATTAGTTTAAATTTAAATTTTAAAAGCTCTGCATGGATTTTAGCGGAATGTTCACGGGATTTGCTAAGTGACAGTGGGCTCATTAATCTACTGTGCGAACAAATTTGCGTCTCTTTTTGATCCGGTTTTCTTTTGTTATCTGTTGGGCTACTGAAATTCCTGTTTTATCACAGTCGAGGTTTATCTATGTATATGTTATTATCTTTTTAGCTAGCTAGAGTAGGTTTGATCTACTTTGGCAACGAAATACCTCAGCCTAAGTAAACAATTTTCCCACGCTATGCCATCTGATGTTGTCGGAAAACCCACCGATTTTTCATTGACTTTTTGTGCTGCTGGTTTGACTGTTTCTTGTTTTTGTTTTTGAGCGTATTTAGATTCACATTGAGCACTTGATCGATTTTATTGACACTTTTTGCTGTTATCGATTACTCGATTGAACAGATTTCATCAAACACTGTGCTTCAATACGAACATATTTATTGATTATTTTTTATTAGTTGCACTTTGTCCAAATCTCTCACAATTTGTTGTTATTGTTTATTCATGAACGCCGAATCCGACCGAAAACGAGTGAACCACGCGCATGTCTTCGCGCCGCGTCGTGTCTAGACAAACGCGTCGCAAACAACTGAAATAGAACTTGGCGCTTGTGCTCGATAACGGAACATGAAATGGAACCACAAACGCAGCAGCAATGAAGCTTCACTAAAAACAAACGTACTGCTGCTCTCACGAGCGCCACGCGCATTTTGAGAGAGTTTTTACCAGAGAGCCAGAGCCAGACAGAAAGAGAGCGAGAGAGCGAAAGAGCTCAAATAAACAAACAAAAAGTTGCTCATCTCATTTGTTTCACGCCACTGCCAACGTTCGCCTGACTGCGGCTGCAGCAAGTCGTGATGATGAGGTTATGACGACAGCGTCGCAGCGACAGCAACAAAGCCGCAAAACGAAAGCCGCAAGTGGGAGGCATAGGGCACAATAAGAAATGAGCAGCTAAACAGACTCAGATTGTGAAGCGATCTGCAATCACAGTGGAGCGCACCGAGTGCCACTCGCGGTATGTGAAAATAAAAGTCAAAGCATGACAACTAATCTCCGACCTGTCATCCCTGCTACTATTTGATATGGCTTCTCTTCTACTGTCTGATTAGATTTGTTAAAATTGTTTGTGGTGCACAAAATAAAATTCTACCAATACCACTGTGATCCGCACAACGACGAATTGCAGCATCCGCTAAAAACAACATTATGATGATCAACTGGCACGTCAACAACGTTGCTGCACACACGCAACCCGACTCCAGACCTAGATGTTGCGTGTGGTGATGGGTGATCGGTGAGTGGGCAGCCTCTTAGACGGGAGTAATCAATAAAGTGGGCACACTCCACTCAAAATGCAGACTAGACAGTGCAGCGCTTTCGATGTCGTTCGCATGATGAATGAAATTTGTGCTTTCATTTTGCAGATAAGTGCACCACTGTGCGTGGGCCTATGTTTAAACTGTAAACTTCCAGAGAGCTGTCAACTTAGTCGATTTTCCACATAATAAGTATGAGTGGCCTTTAGTCAACTCTTAGGAATGTTTCCATTCTTGCATGTGTGAATGTGTGTGTTTATCAAAAGACATTAAGAACAAGCGCAACAAGCAGTAAACAGCCCAGAAATTGTGTCATAAAGAAAATAAAGTAAGAAGAATAAACAGCAACAACAATAACAAAAGCAGCTGCGAATAAAATGACGATACATACATGCATACAAATATACATACGTGAAGCTCGGCTGATGACTAAAAATGTGTGTGTGTGTGTGTGTGTGTGTGTGTGAAGAAATAAATGGCAAACCCATTTAAGAAGTGACTGCCCTAACGAACGCATATCATTTACAATAACCTGGGCTACTCAGCTAACTTCACCTCAGTGTTAATCGTTTAAATATGCCCGCGTATGAATGATTGCAGCGTCGCTTTTGATTCCAAAGAATGCGTATAAATCATAAAATCGCAAAAAATGCAATGGCGAGGATCTTAAGTATTCATAAGTAGCGATAAGGTTAGGATACATATGACACATATGTACATACATATGTATACACATTTTCATTAAAACGCATGTTCATGTATATATGTATGTAGGTATGTATATGTGTAAGTGCGTACGCTTGCACTAGTCAACGACTGATAGGACAACTCTGCTAATCGTACAACATAATTAACCAGCCAACCAAATTAGATAAGAGTCATATTCTTACTGAAATTGTCAGAGCAATTCAGAGAATTACTCAATCACCATCTACCGGCCATAGTCAGCAACAGTAGACTTGGAATGCTAATTAACTATGTAGTATGCTTATGCCGCTAACAACAATTGACCTTGAAAGTCATAGCATCAGCAATACATTAAACAGCATTATTACTCGCACACCCTGTATTTTATACAGGGTGCCGTTTAATTAGGAAGTATCTGTGTGCACTCACCTAAATCATCCATTTCGTTGTTTCCGTTGTCTTGCTGTTGTTCTAGTTTAGGCAAAATTCATGTATTTGTGTGCGTATGTGTGTGTGTGATCAATTGGGCTCCAATTGGGTTATACGGATAGCGAGAGTCCGCAAGTGCCACGCCTGATACAGATACTTGGACGGTGTATATTCCAATTGGAATATTTAACGCGAGACACAAATATAGTTAATTGACTTGAGTTTTTGATCCACGCAAACAGTTTTTTCCTGTAACGCGACAACAACAACAACCACACAGCAGTTTAGAGTCGACAGCGACTGGTCGAAGTTTCATCCGTCGCGTTCGCGTTTGGAATTGAAAATATTTTTGCTGAAATGGCAGTGAGCGCTGCTCGCGAGTGTCGCGTAAGTTGGAGACGAGTTTTATATGATTCACTTTAATTTTGGAGCGGCGTCGACCACAAACACGTAGACAGCACAGATATAAACAATACATACACACACATGTTCATACGGCCCAACAGCTGATTGACTATCGATAACACGATGCGCGCCTGTTTGATAACTTTTTATTTGCTTGTTTCAGTTTTCTCAGCATGACTGCACCTTCCATGTCGCTGTTGAGCCTTGACGACTATTGTTTGGCGAATATATTCAAATATCTCGTGCTGGATGAGTTAATGGTGCTATTGGGTAAAGTTCATCCGCGAATCGACAACGCTATTCAACGGCAGCTGCGCAAATACCGTAACTTTGAATTTTCGATGCGTTTTCCGCCTCAATATGAAACAGACCAACTTCGCACGCTTGGCAAATACATCCAACATATCAACATAAATGTGGGCTACTCCATATACCAGGAGGATGTGTTGGCCATTCTTCGACCCCTCTGTATGGGCGCTAAGGAAAGTGGACGTATCAAGGGACTCAAAATACAACATGCCAACATAACGATGGAATATTTGGACGTAATCCGCCTGGTGGCTCCTCTGCTGCTCGAATTGGATCTTCGTTGCTGTGACGTGGAGGACTCTGATCAATTGTCGCTACTATTAAATTCGGCATCACAACTAAAGATGCTGGCACTAAACAACAAGGATGTGATAGGTCTGGAAGCAACGCTGCTTAGTCGGCTGCGCATCTTACAAATTAATTGGGTAGTGGGATCAAATCTTTCGTACGTCACTACAATCAGCCATCTATTTCCATTTCTGAAAGTTGCTGTATACCAGGGTAATTTAGAGACCCTATATTTGCCCTAATAAACGTATCAGTGTGGAAGTATAAAAATGTACTTATAAATATTTAATTTCGAATAGTTACAGTCGTTAAATGATTTCCAGTGGATGTCCGTTACTTATGTTTTCAGTTAATTTATTAAAGACTATAATTTCAAATACTTATGGCAATCGACTGATAGCTACGTGATATCGATTATTTATGCCTTATTAGCAGCTCTATACATTGTGGTGGCAGTCGATAATAGTATCGCCGATACGCTCTTAACATTGCAGCTCAACTTAGTTTAGCGACTGTTAATTTTTTAGGTGCCCTCAGCTGTTAGTGCGATAAATGTGTCATTTACCGGCAGATTTCATTGCAAATTCTGACGAAATTGATTTAAAATTTAAGCAATAATAGAACAAAAAGGTCAACCAACGAAAAAGATACAAAACTCTGTCTACCTACTACTCAAAATGGTGGTCAGGCCTTATGTTGAGGAGCTGAAGTATCTGGAGAAGATCAATGATCACTGCTGGCGTATCAAGAAGGGCTTCCAGCCCAACATGAATGTTGAAGGTGTGTTCTACGTGAACAGCCGCCTGGAGCAGCTCATGCTGGAGGAGTTAAAGAATTCGTGCCGCCCAGGCGCCGTTGGCGGCTTCCTGCCGGGTGTCAAGCAGATCGCAAATGTGGCCGCATTGCCGGGCATTGTTGGCCGTTCCATTGGACTGCCGGACATCCATTCGGGCTATGGTTTTGCCATCGGCAACATGGCCGCATTCGACATGGATGATCCGCTGTCAGTGGTCAGCCCCGGTGGCGTCGGATTCGATATCAATTGCGGTGTGCGTCTGCTGCGTACCAATTTGTTCGAGAAGGATGTGCAGTCGCTGAAGGAGCAGTTGGCGCAATCGCTCTTCGACCACATCCCAGTTGGCGTAGGCTCCAAAGGCATTATACCGATGAACGCGCGTGACTTGGAGGAAGCCCTAGAAATGGGAATGGATTGGTCGTTGCGCGAAGGCTATGTCTGGGCGGAGGACAAAGAGCACTGCGAGGAGTACGGGCGCATGCTTAACGCCGATCCGGCCAAGGTAAGCATGCGCGCCAAAAAGCGTGGCCTGCCCCAGCTGGGCACATTGGGCGCCGGAAATCACTACGCCGAGATCCAAGTGGTGGACGAGATATACGACAAGTGGAGCGCCTCGAAAATGGGCATTGAGGAGAAGGGCCAAGTGGTCGTCATGATACACTCGGGCAGCCGCGGCTTCGGCCACCAGGTGGCCACAGATGCCCTTGTCGAAATGGAGAAGGCCATGAAGCGCGACAAGATCGAGACGAATGACCGCCAACTGGCCTGCGCGCGCATCAATTCACCAGAGGGACAGGATTACCTGAAGGCGATGGCTGCGGCTGCAAATTTCGCCTGGGTGAACCGCAGCTCGATGACTTTCCTCACGCGCCAGGCCTTCGCCAAGATGTTCAAGACGACGCCCGATGACCTGGACATGCACGTCATCTACGATGTCTCGCACAACATCGCCAAGGTAGAGAACCACATGGTGGACGGCAAGGAGCGCAAGCTGCTTGTGCATCGCAAGGGCTCTACTCGCGCCTTCCCCCCTCATCATCCACTAATACCAGTGGACTACCAGCTGACCGGACAACCTGTCCTCGTTGGCGGCACCATGGGCACCTGCAGCTACGTCCTGACCGGCACCGAGCGCGGCATGCAGGAGACTTTTGGCAGCACCTGCCACGGCGCGGTAAGAAATCCCTCCATCATGATTATATATTATTTTATTATATTTAAACTATTTTAATATTATATTCAACAGGGCCGCGCCTTGTCACGCGCCAAGTCGCGTCGCAATCTGGACTACAAAGATGTGCTGGACAAGCTGGATCAACTGGGCATCGCCATACGCGTTGCCAGCCCCAAACTAGTCATGGAGGAGGCTCCAGAATCATATAAGGATGTCACTGACGTCGTGGATACCTGCCACGCCGCTGGCATCAGCAAGAAGTGCATCAAAATGCGTCCCATTGCAGTTATCAAGGGCTGAAGGCCCCCAATTACTTAGTGTATTTATTATATAGAAGAGACATTTGAAGTCGATGTAAAACACCTGGCCGATTATTGATTTCTATACTTTACATTCTTATTGAGAATGACTGATAATGCGTGTAGACTTAAATAAATCGTCGCATATTTATATTTAATATTTATAATATTAATGTATATAAATTAAAAATATGTTTCTTAATTAATCGAGCATTGTTKTAATGTTAACAGAGTGTCTAAAATTACTTTAACTTGGTTCTAAAATGATTTTTAAATACTCTTAAAAGATGATTGCTAAAATTATGTTTATTATTTATTAAATTTGTTCATAAACAATTCTATTCATTAACAATTCCATTCTATGCAATTGGATTTTTAGTGAACAACAGTCATAATCTACAAATAAATACTCTAAATTGTGCTACGATTGAATGGAGTCTTTTAACAGAATGTTTCTGCAGTTCACACTGTATACCTAACTTTCGTTTCCACTATTAAGGAATTCGAGATTGAGCAAAGCGGTCTGTTAAGTTAACAGTATGCCGGGACTTTTACGGAAGATATACTATAAAATCTAAAAATAAAAATAAAAAGGTATACTATTTTTTTTTACGTACTAAGACGTTTTTATGAAGCAATAACAAATATGTAATAGCTTTAAGTTCATTTGATTCGTTCTGAACAGTGCTTGATACCTCACTTATGTTTCTATTCACAATTAACATTTGTTTACATTTTTAACAGGGCACTAGTTCCACGAGCACGTTCATTTCTGCCCATCAAACCATTTGACAGTTGACTGTTGGTCCAATAGGTTGCGGCTCGTGGTGGCGCGGTTGCGTTAAGTGTTCAATTTTTTGATCGTTTAATTGTTGGGATTTTTCAAAGTGCACGCCAGTACGTTTTGTATGTATTATGAACAAAAAATAGCATTTAATTGCTTAAAGTGCAACGAATATCGTGATTGATGATACAAAGAAGACCCACATGACAATTGTAAACAAAAAGTTGTTAGCTGCGCAGTTTTTACAACAATTTAGTAATTATTGAGGCAGTCAACTGCAAACAACAACAAAAATCAACAAAATGACAAACATGCGCCCACCGCAAAAATCTAAACTGCTGAAGGTCGTCATACTGGGCGACGGAGGCGTGGGCAAGTCTGCGCTGCTCACACGGTTCGTATCGAATCGGTATGAGGAAAACAATTTCCACACGATTGGCGTGGAGTTCATGAACAAGGACATCGCTGTGGACGGCGAAAAGTACACACTACAGGTGGGTGGAGTGGTAGTCTAATTGGATGATTCATCTATTTACATATCCTGAGCTGGGGTCAGCAACGCGTCACGACTGAAGAATCGAACGCGTCTTCATCAGTTTTTAGACTCATTCACGAAAGTGAAATGAGTATATTGGTTTTGTGCAATGTCCGTCTTGCTGTCCGTCCGTCTGTCCGTCTGTCCGTCTGTCCGTCTGTCCGTCTGTCCGTATGAACGCAATCTATTTCGGCGCTATTGAAGCTAGAGACTTGAAATTTGGAACACATACTCGTGTATATCTCCGATTTATAAAGTGTTAANGTATCCAATATATGGATATAAATACATGTATATTATTAAAAGTCAAAATTGTATAAATTATATACATATGCATGTAATTTGAATGCAATTATGCAATGATCATAGCAATAGCTATCGATGATTTTCCCATTTTAAATGGGATCATGCCCTGTTTTTTGTTGCGCACTAGACTTGAAAATTGCACTATATACTCTGGTTGACAGCGTTTGGGCTGTGAATGAGTCTTCTGCAATCGGTATCGCCCGACTGCAACGTTCTTACTTGTTTCTCTTTTCTTGCTGTCGGCTTCCATTTGAGTTCACATTTTCACAGTCCGCCAACTTTCGTATATAGCTTATAAATATTCAACGGATGGCCGGGAGGGAGCTGCAATTAGATGAGTAAGCAAACTGGGACAAAGCGTCATGTAAATAATTCTTATTGTTAATAGTAATTGTGCCAATCAATAAATTCCAGAGATTTTTGCAATACCGAAAAACTACAGCTTCAAATTCGATTATGCATAATTTTAAATTTGCCCATTAAAAATTCGAGAAGGGTAACTGGTTTTCGTGCCTATTTACATCACCGATTCGCTAAGCTCGGCTCAAACAAGAAGTTCTGCCAACATGCACAATGATTCTGTTCTAATCAAGTTGACATTAGAGAAAATTCTAAAGCTGATTCCAGGGTCACTCAGTTTGACCATTTAAATGAAAATATTATAATTTTATCAACTACATTATAAAGTTGTTGTCAAGGTTGCTTGCAGAAATTTGCAGCTGGTTATTTATTATTTTAGTTGATCGGGTGGTAAATCTATCTCCGTCTATAAAAAAAAAAAAAACAAACTGATCTATTTAAAGGCAGGAATGCGACTGAAAAGAAAATTAACATCTGTCCTTGCATGAGAAACAAACTAACGCATTATTGATTACATGCCGCATTAGTTTCTGCAAGGGATGAATTGAGGAAGGTATTAAAAGGTACTAGAAAATAATAAAAAAATAAAACAATTATCTAACAAATTATCAGTAAGTCAACATTCACATTCTAAATAAATCTTGGGGATTCGATATATTTCCACCTTATTCAGCGACTATGATAGTGATAGGCTATTTGAAATTGATTTAACGAGGAAGAATATAAATATAATTCAATTTCATATTTTAAAAAAGTGTTGTTTTTTCTATAGGTATTGGAGGAGTATAAGTGTGATCAAAAAGCAAAATTAAAATTTTCAATTGTATTTAACAAATATATGTGTGAAGACTCTAGCAAAAACCCAGAATATATTTAGCGGTGCGGAGCCATGTCCATTCCATATATTCCCCTCAAGTGCATGTTTTGCATTTAGGGCCCTATAAATGAAGAAATAATTCAAAATGAATAATAAATTCAAATAATAATTCAAATGGAGAATAAATTCAAATATGTATTTGATTTACTTCCAAGGATCTACATAAAGCTTCATTCAATTACCTGTGACTGCAAGCCTGAAGCCCCCAAGCAGTCAGCTAGACTCGAAGAGACTCGAGTCAGGAACTTGCACCTCGTATATATCTATGCATCTAGATATTTTGGTTTTTTGGCTTTTCAATTTCTTTTTCAGTCCTTTGACTGTGTCAGCGTAATAAAAGTTTTCAGCATCTAATCTCAATATTTCAGAATCTTTATCTATCATCTTATTTTTGCTTACAATATCAGTTTTCATTTTATCTATTTTGTTCTCAAGTTCTTGAATTGTTATTCTATTTTTTACATATATTGATTTCATGTTCTATAGCTCTTTGTTCATCTGATCTATAGTAGTATTTTGTTTAACTATTGTTTCTTGATCGTTATATTAAGAATTATCAGTATATTGCTGGAGGGACTATGTTACTTTGTCGAATTGTTCAGTTCAATTTTTCATGAGACTGTGCTGCCGAAATATTTTGATTCAATTGACAATTATAGAGCACACACATACATTGTTCACTCAAGAGGTAAACTCATAATCTCAAATTTGGCTAATATCCATGAAGCATATGTTAAAGCTCAGTCTGAGTACTCTTCTGTTAGCATTCAAGGAACTTTTATCCAATCCCCCTAATATGATATTCTCGATAACAATTGCTTTCAACAGCCTCTATAAATATTTCTAAATTTCTTATGTAGCTTAGATGAAAGTTCAAGCTGAGTGCAATCTTACAATTTATGTCTAATTTCTATTATCTATATTAACTAAACTATATATATAAATACAGTAGAATCCCGATAATTCGGAATGGCAAGGGGATTCGTTTTTTTTTTTGTCGATTTACACAGAAATACAAATTATTCTGAATTATTAAGAACGTATTTCTTTTAAGGGTATAGAAATGTTTTCGATGAATCGCGATTTTCGATTTAACGGGGTACGAATCGAGACTTGACTGTATAAATAGATTGAAGCTAGAATGCCAGGTAAAGACTCAATGCACAGCTTTAGGCACGTGCTGGTCGAATATACCCGATCGGAAGCGTCTTTTCGGTGTCACCTTTTTGTTTGTTTACTGACTACATATAAGGTCTTTGGGCTGAATTTGCTTTTAGCCTGGTTATCAGCACACTATTATCGGCCCGCTTTGTCTCTGGCCCAGGGCCTTGGCGATCTGCCCTCAGTCATTCGCATGACGCAATCAGCGCCAACTTTCCGACTTGCACGGAAGCCGATGCTTCTCATTCCTTCCACTCATTCCACTGTGCTCTCTCGCAGATATGGGACACGGCTGGGCAGGAGCGATTCCGGGCATTGCGCACGCCCTTCTATCGCGGCTCCGACATGTGCCTGCTCTGCTACGCACTGGACGACCGGGACAGCCTGCGTGGCCTGCGACTGTGGCGTAACGAGTTCATCAACTATGCGGACGTCCAGCCGGACAGATTCCCCTTCATTGTGGTCGGCAACAAGGTGAGTTGCACATTAGATTAATGCTAATGCTGATGCCAATGCTAATGCGCTGTCATATTCGCAGAATGACATTCGAGCGGAGCGCAGGCAAGTGAGCTACGAGGATGTGCAACAGTGGTGCGCGGAGCATGGGATTAGCGCACACATTGAGACCTCCTCGAAGACGGCGACAAATGTGACAGACGCCTTTGTGCTCGCCCTGCGACAATGGAAGGCAATGGAGCGCGTCGCCGAGGCGGAGCAGCGCCAGCATGGCGACACCATCGATTTAACGCAGCCCATCCGGCTGATGCAGCGGCGCCAGTGCTGCACTGGCGGTGGTACGGGCAAAGCCGCTGACGTCGTCGATGCGGATGACGATAATGGGCGCAATACGGATGCTGCCATGCGTTCGCCCTCCTCCATGTCGCGTCATCTGTTCGGACAATCGCGCAGCTCGCCCAAGGCGCCCAAAACCAATTATCAACTATGAGCGGGGACGGGGTTTACGTGTTTTATTCTCTGT